GATAAAGAATATATAGTCGTCTTTCGGCAACCCATCAACCCATCAAACTAGGGAATTTAGTTATTACCTTTGATGCATATCTTCAACAAAACGTTTATGCTCTATTATTTCATAACGTATACGATCCTATAACAATTATCTATCTAATAAATAAAACCTGATCAAAATCGGTGTTTATGCCATATAAAGGAGTAAGGAAAGCTTCGTATGGGTTTTACCAAGCTGATTTGTTTTTTTTTTTTTTTTTTTTTACTGTGCAATCCAGACCATCCCATCCGATCCCAAACATCCCAAATCGAAATGGAAATCGCAGCATGGCAACGCACAGGACGCACACACAAAAATGCGTCGCAGTTGCCTCAGGGGTGGGTGGTGGCTTTCCCTTGCCGTTAACATTCCCTTGAATGTTAACCCCCCTACCCTACCCGTGCCCTCGTCCATTGTGCGTTGTGCGTTGTGCGTTGTGCGTTGCAGGGGCGGCAATTTGGCCAGAGTTAGAGCCAGCGCCCAGACTTAGTCCAACTTCCCGGATCCAGCCGGCTGTAAACATTCCTGGCAGACGCAGGAACGCATCTCAACCACAGCCAGCGGTGGTGGCAAACAAATTGAGGCGATTCCTGGGGGCTTAACAGCCTTTCAATAAGTCCTAAAATTTCGATATTCCGTCAACTCATTAACAACATTTAATGAATTTTTGTGTCTCAATTTTAAAGCTATATAATTATGCCTTTTAAAATAGGTTTGCAAATATTTGATTTGTAGAATAGCACCTTATATGCTATATGCTATATATCACCTTAATTTAAAACACTGTTTTAGATTTTATTTTAAGACTTTTTAAAACCTTCAATGAATACATAAGGTCAAACTTCTATAACTAATAATACCTAAATAACTATAGATATTTATAGGTCTCTATAAGATCAAGACGTTTTAATGGCAATAGAAAAGAACTCAAACTCACCTTAGCTCAAATATCATTTCTTATTAGATAACATATAGTACTTCGAGTTTTATAAGTTTTTAATGTACATTGGAATCTATATTTCAACAAAGACTAATTACTTTGTGTTTCACATTAAATGTGTTTTAAGTCTTTAACTCAAATGTCTCTATAAGACCAAGATGACCATATGTATATATATGTAAGCTTAGAATTGAAGTTCAATGACAGTGTCGTATTAAATGTTGCAAACGATTTCAGATGGTTGGCCACTTTCATTTGGCACCCATTAAACCCTGTCCAGAGGCGTAGGACCACATCCTCGACCTTGTCCTTGTCCCGTATTTTGGGGTTGAAAAACTACGCAAGTTTCGCTTCAAAAATTCGGAAACGGGACGCAAACAGTTTATGTGTGTCTGTGTGCGTGTGTAAGTGTGCGTGTGCATTTCAGTGTGTGTGCTGTGGGCTGAGCTGGGTTGGTAACAGTCGGATATATGAGTATCGGGTATGTATGTGTGTATCTTAGTTTGTTGTTGCTCCGGGGTGCGCATCGGATTTAACTGAAAGGGGAAGCAGCGACAAAGAAGAACGGGAAAATGAAAATGTAGGAGAGCAGGAAGTAGAAATTTCGATGCCAGCCAAGGTCAGCGATAGAGGGAGATGGCAGCAGAGAGTAAGAGAGAGACAGGGATAGATTCGTAGATCAAAAGGCTATGGTAAGTTGCTTAGTTTGCCAAAAAACCCAATATCTTTATCATCGATTTGAAAACCTCTTATCTGCTTCGGATCAATCAGCCAATCTAGTTGGAGAATAATGTGGTTTTGGTCTACACAGTTCAACATATCTAGCCCAAACTCTTATAGCTATTGGCTAATCAGAGTTATTCAGTAACTTAAACTATTTCTATTTAAACCAACTGAAATCTCTCATTCACCAGACAAATTTGATATTGATCAGATAGATATCTAAAATCAAGCTGTGACTGCTAGATAATAGCGATTAAAAGCACTATAGTCGAGTCGTAGAATCGTAAGTTTACAAAAATTCATTGCATACTTTCTGAAGTCGAACGGTGGGAAAATTTAAGATGTAAACTAAAATATCTATTGTGAGCGTAATATTTATCTTATCTATATAAAATTTGTGGATATTTAGTATGTGGGTAGGGAATAACAAAGCACAGATGCTTTACGTTTCAAATGTCGATCTTATCTACATATATAATTTTAAAAATCATTGCACTCTTTCTGGCGTTTGACTGCGGTGCGTATAAATAAGAACGCGTAATAGAGCAGTGCGTATCGGAAAAGTCATGGCCATGGCACTCGACTTTAGGATTATACCTATAGGATAATACCTATGGCCAGGTTTAATTTCAGATGCAAACAACTTTCCTCAAGTGGCAATCGTTGGTGGAATGGAATGCACAATTTTTTTCCCACCTCGTGTTTTTCTCATATCTCACAAATTTAAGTCTGGCCTTTGTAAAGCAGCTGTGGCAGTTTGAATTTTCCTGACATTTTCACGAGCCAGCAGACAAAACAGACGGTGCGAGAAGAGAATAAGGGAACGAAGAGGAAAAAGAGAAAAGAGAAACGGGAAAAGGGAGGGAGAGAAGGAGAGGGATAAACGTCAGCGTCGCTACTTTGGGCCACCCTTGTTTTCAGAGTTTTTCCCCGAGTTTTCCGCTTGGTACAATGAATTTTCGCTTTTCACATTTCACACTCACCCCCGGTGTTAGCTACGTCGACGTCGACGTTGACGTTGACGGTGACGTCGACGCCGCTGTCAGCAGCAAGCCGGGCCAAACCAATCAGATGGAAAATATTCGTTTATCCGTTGCGTTTTTCGATGATTTTCCTTTCGGTCGGGAAACCGTCATAAACAGCAGTGCAAAGTACAGGTCCAAGCAGCTAGCACACTGATCAGCAGAAGCACTTTGTTTAAAGCCTAGTCTTAAATCACGGATAGAAGTATTACATAAACATAGAAAACCAAATTCCATGATTTTATTAAAAAAAAATTCTTAGCTTAAGCAATCATAGACTAAACTTAATCTTAAAAAAAAAAAATGTATCTAAAATTGCATTCCATATTTATTTTAAGATAAAATATATAAATAAGTTAAATTAGTTTTTATATTTTTTCAATGTTAATATTTAACAGTAAGGTTTTATATTATTGTTTCCGGTATGCGATCCAGAATAAATATTAAAGATATTACCATATCTCTCTGTTTGGCATTACTAAAATCTCTGCTACCAGCTGCATTTGTAAAATACAAAGAAACTGTCGGTTTTAACACAGCCTCCGCGGATTTTTTATTTAAGAAATCTAAAAATGTGTGCCAAGTTCATCTGCGGCTATGATCAATTTACAGTGGTCACTGACTTTTCGTAGTGGGTGTGATGTAAGCTGGCTGCTGCTCTTTAAAGCGGATAAAGCGGATAGACGCTCACACGTACGCATCACACACACACCAACAAACACACTACAACACCAACCAACACACACACACACACACACGAACATTGACAGAGAGACGCCAAGGAGCTGGGTCAGCCATTTTGGTTTACAACTTTCACTGCTTGGGATGATGGGTGGGAAAATGCGACGCCAACGCCGCTGCTACTGCGCTGCGGCAGAGGGCTGAGAAGAGAGAGCAGAGAATAGAGTTTTCCTCGCATTTTCATCGGGCACCGAGCAGCAGACACCTTGGAATTGGGATCCGTATATCCGGCAGGCAGTTCACTCGTCGCCGTTGCGTCAGTTCGTTCGACTCTCAGCTCACACAGTTCGCAGTTCACAGTTCGCAGTTCACAGTTCACAATTCACAGTTCGCAGTTAATAGCTCACGCCGTGCCGTTTACTAAATAGCTAACTAGCTATCCGGATAGTTTTCGATTTAGCCGCCCGCCGTCGACGCCGCCATTTGCGATTTTTGTTGTTTTTTCTTCCATGCCCAAAAGAAAGTGACAAAAAGAAAAGGCCACAAGCAAAACAAGTGAAAAGCCAAAGAAAAGCGTAAAAGAAAAGTGCCGAATTGAAGAAATAACCAAATAAAATTCATCGAGAATTCTTGAGGTTTAATAATACACCGAAATATGTAAGTGAAAGAGAGATTTAAAGAGATAGGGAGAGAGGGAAGGAGAGGGAGAGCGGGAAGGAGAGGGAGAGAGGGAAGGAGAAATCAAAGAAAGAGGGTGAGAGAGTGGAGAAGTGGAGCGGGGGTGAGAGTGTTTTTTCAGTCTTACTTTGTACGCACTCACGCAGCTGCTGCCGTCCCACTCGCACTCACACACTTTAGCGCCACCCTCCGCCAAGCACTGCCACCCACCCATAGAGTTGTCACCTACGCAAAAATCAATAAACCAAAGCAAATAAAATAAATCCACATCGACAGTGAAAAAACCCAACAAAATATTACTTCTGGTCGAAATCAATCTCTCAATGGAAAAATCAATTATAAACTCATAAATACACCACTTTTGGAACATATCGTAAAGGGGCCCGCCTTTTTACAACACTTTTAATGAGGTTATCTTGGATTATCTTTAAAGAAGCGGTAAAAGGACCATTTAAGCCCAGTTGTTTCAACAACGCGTAATCTGACCTTTAAAAGATTTTTTTTCCCTGTTTTATGGTTATACAAGTATTTTGTCTTTTTGTTATTATAATAAATGTCACACAAACACAGAGCATGATGTGTTTTCGCAACTTTATTTATACTTTTTAATCCGTTATAAGAGTCTGTATTTTTGATTGAATTTATTAAATTGAAAAATTAATTTAACATTTATAATAAATTAATGAGCATATTGTGAATTAAAATAATATTTAAATTTTAAATCACTTACCTTAACTAAACTCACAATAGAAAGTTAAAAGTACAATCTTATCAATAGCTTTCCTTTCCATTTTCATAGTTCAAACGAAATTCCCTGCCAAAAATTAATATTATTCAAATAACAGCATTTAATATACAAAATGTTACTGACATTCTACCTCAGATACCATTTGCACTTCTGTCAAAACCAGCTGCCAAAAGGCTCCTACAAATTTTCACTTTCTCACAATTCTGTTTCAATTTTTTTTCTCGCTCAAAAAAAAATCAAAAATTTACCCAAAATCAAAAATATACACTTACACCGCCCACGACAAGACAGGAGACCGAAAAAAACCAAATAACAAATCCCAACAAAAGAAAATAGGAGAAACCAAGCGAAGGCCACACGAACAGCGATCGAAATCCAATCCGATTCAAAAGAAACTGATCTCTCGTTCATAGATAAAAGTTCCGCTGTGTGATCTACACAATTGAGAGCTAATAGAGCTCACTTTTCCGGAACCCTGTCCTTTGACCCTGATCCTCGTTTCACCGATATTCAACAGATATCCTTTCTAAGCCAAAAAGAGAGCCAGAAAGACGGCAGCAGTAGCAGATTCTTCTAGAAGCAAAGAAGAAAGGCCGGAAGAATCTTACCACCCGCTCTCCATGCCCTCAAGGAAATCGATCATCCCAAAACAACGTTTTAAAGTCTGAAATCTGTCGAAAATCTCTCAAATAGCGACATCGACCGATGCACCTAAAAGCCGGTAACTAGAAATTGGAAACTCAAAGGGATCAATAGCCTGGTCAGTACCGAGATTCTAGGAGCAATAAAAGCATCGCAATTTTAAGCAGTCACATCCGACATCCTATCAATCAATCGAGTAGCAACAGCTCAGTCAACAGATCTGTAAGTATCCTAGGACATAAGCCACATGTACACGCCACATTTGTTCTGGCATGATATTCCGCATTAGTCCTGACCAGCAGATTGATCATCGTTTGAAATTAGGACAGTTTTCTCACATAGTAAGATACTTTCATCTACACAGATACAAAAATGGAATAGCACAAATAAATATCTTACTATTGAATTGAACATTTTATATTTAATATTTAAATTAAATAATAAATTAAATTCAAAATTTTATTTTTAATATTTTGAATTAAATAAGAAATCATAATGTTAAATTCAAATTAATGGCATGATTAAATGTTAAAATATTTTCATTAACGTGGAAAATATTTTGTTTAAAAGAGATATTAAAATTTCAGATATTAACATCAATTCCGAAAAAAGTCAAATGAAAATTTTTAAAAAATTGTAATATTATTTAATTAATTTTGGTAATTAGTTAATTATTAATAACTAAAAACCGCCATAGATTAAAATCAAAGCGAATAATTTTTAAATTAAGTACAAAATATTTAAATTTACTATGTTTTTCACAAATGTAGAAGATCTTTAATGGCCTGCAAAATAAGAAGTATTTATATACTATGTAGACCCATGGCCCTAAAACTTTTAAATAGAATCTTCGCTTTCATAACTTTAGAGTACCATCTTATGATAATGATTAGCTTAAAATGTGTTCGGATAAATTAAGCCAAGAACAAGTTCTTAACTAATTAGTGGCGCAGCAAGCGATTCGCCAAATTCCTGTCCCTGTCTTTCATTCATATTTGCGATGCGAAGTGTTCGTTTGCTTGTTTGGGCCAACAGAGGGGCCTTCACGCCATTGCAACATTGTAGGAATGACACGCCGACTACAGGGAACGCTGCCCAAGTTGGATACAGAATTGGTAAGAGTGAATAAGCAACCGAAGTGGCAGGCTCCTCTGTGGTTGAACGGAGGTTGCGTGCTTTGGCGTCTATTTTAAATGTCGACAGCGCAAGATGCGCGTGGCATGAATGAAGCATCTGTCCCGCCTTTCAGCCCCTCCCCCTTCCTCAGTCTAATCTGGCTTGTCTGCTTCTAAATTTAATACATTCTCGAGTGTGGCGAATTCATGGAAGATGCGAATAAAATCGGATCAATTTTAAAGTTCAACAGCCGCTGAAAGAGAGAGTAAAAAAAAGTGTGTGCGTATGTGTGTGTGTGTTTGTGTGGTGTGTGTGTGTTTGTGTTTGTGTGTGTGTGGGGGGCTCGATTTAGAAGCAGACTGACAAGGAAAGAGATCCAAATTCCACGACGTTTTGCAAATACTTCCTGTCGTATAGCTCCTTTTTTTTGCGGGGGTGATTCGTATCTCGTAGTTGCTCCCTAAGCTTTCTAGTCATTGGAATGCTTCTTCTAAGAGCTCTACATTTCCATATCTTTTTGGGGGTGTTTTCGTCCTTTGAAATGCTCAACCCTTGATCTTCACAAAACTCATTACACATTTGAGGTAATAAACGCTTATAGGCTTTATATTCAATCGGTAGTTATATATCTTTATTTAATGCTAATTAGTGTTATTTTGAGAATTCTTAGGTTGCTATTTGGATTACTCCTTTTAGCATCTTTTTATTCGGGTTGCTTTCCTTAATATATATCTTTTCCTATTTCCAAGTCTTGTATCCGTTAGATACTTTATCTTTGGGATCCTCATCTCCACTTGTAGATGAAGGCGTTTAGTATCTTTCGATTCGATCATCGCTAAGGCTGTCCATCTACTTCTAGTCGAGGCAACTGTACCTCGCTAGCGCTCCTTTGAAGCGCGTTGTCCTTGAGACAGCTCTCTAAGAAAGCTTAGGTAGGCAGGCAGGCAGCTTTCGCATTTCGCATTTTGCATTTGGCATTTGGCATTTGGCAGCTGTTGCCTGCTTGTGCCTGGCTGCCTCTCGTCCGCCCTCCCTTTGGCACTGCTTATCTAGTCTTCCAAGGTGTCCTGTAGCCAAACGAGCTCCTCGACCTCCTCGACCCCCACCCCCTTCCCCCCTCTTCCCCGGCGATTCACGTTCGATTGTTTAATGTCCTGTTCGGCGGTGAGTGTGTGTGTGTGAGCTTTAGAGTCAGGATATCGCCGATATAAGCCTAGAAATAACACGTTAGGTTGGCTTGTGAACAAGTAACTTGAGTTCAGACCTCAACCGCAACTAAATGGTAAAAAAAAAAAAAAATTTCGAATTACTTGTGACCAATGGATTCTCGCTCGCTTTTTATAGAAACCTATTTGAATTGCAAAGCATGTTTTTCGCACTTTTCAAAAGACGTGACTAGGCGTGACTAAAAATTTTAAAAACTAATAAATTGTTGTTTTTGCTTTGGTAACAAAACATGGAATTTTAATATTAATTTTACTTGTGTAAAACACATACAAAAGTCTAATCAAACTGATTTTGCGTACCATACTCCTTTTCATTCACAAAGTATTAAAACTATGCAAATTATTTAAAAACCATTTAAAAATTCCTGTCAATTTTCAATAGCAAAGAATTTCGTTTTCTAGTACTATTTCTTTAATGATTCTCATGTAAGCTTTTACATTATGAAAGATTTTATACATTTAAACACACAAACCAAATAAATATATATTTACCTTTACCTTTAAAGTAAGATCTTCCATATAGATAAATATAACTCTTTTTGCTTTAAGATGTCTACAAGTCTCACTTTAAGAACATTTGTATTTACATACGATGCTTTTTGAGAGCCACTGAACATCGGTAACAATTGCCTTCTATGGGGGAATGAATTTCCGATGAATCCTGCAGGACACGAACCACTTTCTGTATGCATTGGCCGCCCGGCTCGTGTGCATTTCAATCACATTTGACTGCGTTCGCCATTGCAGTCGGCAAATGGTAATCAACCACTGAGCCACTGAACCACCGACACCACCGACACCACCGCCAGCACCGGTGGTGGTGACCCAAACCACCCACAAGTGTATAAGTGAACGGACGGACAAACGGACAAACGGACAAACGGATGCAGGCACATAGCTTTCGACGATTTTATTCGCAGAGGGTCCTTACCCTCTCTTTCACTCGATTAGTAAATGGTGTGTGTGTGTGGGTGGGGGATGTGTGTAGATGTGTAGATATGTAGGTGGGTGACAGTGGGTGACAGTGGGTGGGTGTAGGCCTGGTGTTGCACACTTTCGAGGGGTTGCTGTTGCACTTTCCTGCGCGCGCGCCATTTTCTGCTTTCTGAAAAAGGAAACAGAAAATGTGCAACTGCAACAGGCGTTCGCCATTTGCCGCCGCTTAAAGGGAATAAATAGAAAGGGGAAGGGGAAGGGGGGGGAACGGAGGGATGGGGTCAAGCCCGCCCACCCGAGGGCTTATAACCTTTGGCAGGATGATGTTGCAACCGCAGGAGTTGCCACCCCTCGAGCGTAATGATGATGATGGTGGTGGTGGTTTCGAGACCCTTACCGCCGTTGCACTTTTGTTGCAAATCGGTGGCGCGGACAAAAAGCTTTACAAGCCTCGCCACCTCTAATTGGCTTGTCGCGGCAACAAAAGCGGCACATGGACACTATAAGGATTCAAGCGGCAATCGGCAATCGGCAAGGGTAGAACTAATTTAAACCATGTACCAGCCGCACCCTTTTCGGTCGGTCACCCATCGTTTCCTCCTCCGACCGTGGAGAGATGAGATGAGGCCTATTAAACGTCAATTAATGTCACCTTCAACAACTGCAATTGCTGCATCCTGCATGTTTTTGGTCCTTCAACCCCGGACCCTTCCTTGGCCTACCCTCTCGATTCTGAAAATTGTTTTGATTGCGACGCGTGCAGGGCTTTAAGTTGTTGGTCGCAAAGCGGAGGAAGGATGGGTTTTTTTTTTTTTTGTTTAAGGAGGGTCAGAGTGCAGTGTTGCATGCAACAAGTGAGATGAGCGCTCTTTTATTGTCGCCATTTGAATGCATCCATGAAACAGGGAAGTACGAGATTAAAGGTGGTTGCAAGGCATATTGCGGGAATTCAAATTGATTTTAAAGGCATTTCAACACTCCAAGTGTGATGATCATATCCTCTTAATTTTCGTTCAACAAGGTTGTGCAGAATTTGAGAATTGGCAAACAAGAATGTTACCTTAAGTCAGGTTTCTAAGTCAAATAGTATGTACACTTGGCTACGTAGACACATCATATTGTCTTTGTTTTGGAAATTCAACAATACTCATTTTTAACTAAACAACATGTTTTTATCTTATTATAAGTTTTGTAAGAGAAAGCATCAGCCAGATTTTAAAATATAAATGAAATTACTAATGTTTTAATATATATTAATAAATGTACATTTAGAAAAAAAAGCAACATTTTTTATTTACATCCATAGAAACTCATGACTTTCTTGTTAACTTTAACTTTAAGCTTCTTAAACACGTTTTAGGTTATTTTTTCCTTTTCCGCAAATAATTAAACAAAAAATTATTATTAATTAATTATTATAATTTTAAGGATTTTAAAAATGTAAAAGATAGAACTAAAGTTTTTTATGAGACAATAGTCTTAAGATGATTCAATTATAAAGGATGGTATCTTAATCATTTTATAATTCCCAACTATTAAACAACAGTAATTCTAATCAGTTTCAGTGGAAAAAGACTAGATAGAAGAAATTGCACAATTAAACAAGTTATAAGGATGTTAAAAGAAACCACTGATAAACAATGACAATATACAAAAAGCTAAAAAAAAAATAAGTTACTAGTGATAGAATGTTAGTAGAGAAAGTTAATTAATAGTTTTATATTTGAAAATTGGGCTGTTTAAGAAATAAAGTGCTTGACTTAGTTTGCATCTGCTTAGCTACTTCGAATGGTCTAGACTTATCATCGCTAATCGCAACTTTGGAATTGAACTTGGGGCTCAAGGACATTGTACTAACCTTGTCCCTGTAGCCGCCCCCTCCCGCTTCCAAACTAGGATTCTATGTGAAACCCGCTTTAAGTGTCCTTCCCTTCGGCCTCTCTGCCCCCTCCCCAACGCCGCTCTATTGCTCGCATTTCGTTTTTCAATTTTTCGACTGCTTTCTGCGTTTTTTTCTTCTTTTTTTCTAAAAAACAGCAGCTATTGTGTGTTCGCAGTTCACTTCCTTTGCCGCTTCCTTCTTCCTTTTCGGTTCTCAGTTCAGTTTTCAGTTTTCAGAGCTTAAGCGCCGCCGTCGTCACCGTCGCCACACCAACGCACACAGGCACCTCTCTTATCCGTGTGTTTGTGTGTGTGTTTGTGTGTGTGTGTGTGTGTGTCCATGTGTGCCTCGCTTTTTGGCAACGCCAGCAGCGCAGTCGACATCGATGCCGGCAGCGAAATGTGGCAAAAGAGAGGGAGTGAGAGAGAAAGAGTGAAAAAGAGTCGTCCTGAGTAGTGTGCATCTCACTCGCACGCGCTTAAAGTTCCCTTTTATTGGTGTGGGGAAGGGGGGTTTTAGGGAAAATGAAGGGGGACGGGGGGATGGCAACACGCGCGCGTCTTTTCTGAGCCACTTTTTGAGTGGATTTTCGGAGAGTGTAAGACGAGAGAGAGTGGAGACAGGAATCCATACACTCCAATTTCCATAGCTGGAACATCCAGTATCCAGGCAATCCATCTTCCACTCAAGCTTTAACCTCAAGAAGACCCAGTTTTCACATATCCCCAGCCTCCTCAAGCACAAGCTTATCGCAAATGCCAACCAACTTGTGTGATTACTTCTTAAATTTCCATTACATATTCTTAATAACAAGTCAAGTCTGACAAAATGGAATTTTTAAGAAATAACACTAAGGCGAACAAGTTGAGGAGGTGTATATTCACTACTGGCCAAATTAATAAATAAATAAAATTTAAAGACACCCAAATTGCTTAAATTATGCAGTACATTTATTTTCAGTCTAGATAGTTTTTAAAGTAATACTAAATCACTATCTTATTTAACTTGCTCTACAACTTTAATGGGGTATTTAAATGATCATTAACAACTCTGAATCTTTTTAAACAAACTCATTATTGGAACTTCAAATACAACTTATACTTAAATATACTTTTTATACTCATACTTTTTTTTTATATATCCCTGACAATTGAATTTTCTATTAACATTTAATTAACATATGTTTTATTTTTCATATTAGCAACTAATATTTAAAGATCCATTTAAAATTTACTATTAAATTATGAATGGTTTATTATGCATTATGAATGGTTTATTATGCAGAGCGCGTTTTTTAGCATCTATATTTTTTTTTATATATATTAAAGTGAACATCAATCTCATAGTAATAATAACATAGAACATTTAATTTTATAAAACGTTTGTGAAGAAATCCTTTTGAAATGTTCTTCACATTTGTTTTGTAAACTACTTATTTTAGTAGATTCTAGTGTAACTGCAGTGATAGGCATTTGCCATAAAAAATGGTTCTGGTTTTATTTTTAAAAGAATTTTATTGAAATAGATTTGAGTTTGGACCAATTTTAAAGGCAACATGCAACATTTTTGCACATTTTCAATGTATCATCGGCACGGTGATTATTTTCCACTAGGAAAGTGACATTTAATCCCATGGTAGCAAAGCAAACGTTTGAATGTAATATTAATGTGAAAATCGAATACAAATATGTATAAGATTTCATTTTAACTTAAAGATGTAGAAGTTTATGTTTGCTTAAGACAACATAGGGTTAAGTAACCAATATCTATCAAGGTAAAAATAAATAGGAATGATAAGTAGGCCCATCTGGGGTTAAAGATACAATACCTAGTGTAGAATATCTCAGGAGCAGTTCGCCTGCGGATGGCTGCTGAGCTTTTTTGATAACCCGAGTGAACTAAACCTCCATTTTAGATTTCATCTATCTCATTGTTAGCTTTAATTACCGCTTTTATCAATTTCCGCGCCACTCACCGAAAAACCAACGACGGGGAGAAAAAGACGCCAAAGTCACTCAACACTTACCGTCTCGCTCGCACTCACTCGACTCGACACTCGCCGAAAATTTTCGGCAGTCGTTGATACGCACACCACTACGGTTTCTTGGTCTTTTGCTTTTGGCTTTGCCTTTTGCTTTTGCCTTAGCTTCTCCTCTCGCTGCGTGCCTGTGCACTATGGGCCTAACGACCAAACCCAATTAACATCGGTGGGCCGTCCAAAACTTACCTTTTTGACAAGAGGAACTAGAATTTGTTCAATCCCATACTTTTTCATTTCCATGTTGCCCAAGGATACTAGAAAACGATTGGTAAAGCTTTATCTCGATACCTTTGAAATTATGCGAGTTATTAATTGTGGCCAACAAATGTGGTCGTTGGCCCCATAGTGGCAGTGTATGTGTGTGAGTGTGTGTTTCGTATCTGTGTTTAGGAATTTCGGCAGCGGAGTAAAAAAAGTGAATTTTCGAGTGAAACTGCGGCGCTGCCGGCGCCGCGTCGACGTCGCTGCCGCCGCGGGTTCTGCCTGCTGCCGCCGCTCGGCCGGCAGTTCAGTGTCTGAAAACGCTCCTAACTGTAAGCAACGTAGCGTCGCGACTCGCGGGCTGCCCCAAAAAAAAAAAAAGACAAATTGTACAAAGCGAAAAAAAGAGAAAAAATAGCCAAACACCAAAAAATACACAAGAAGAAGAAGCAGCAACAGCAACACAACAGCAGCCTTGAATCAATTTTTTCTGTGTTACACTATATTTTGTGCCTGCCGTTTTGCCATTTTCCGTTTTGCGCGCCACGGATACTTGGATACTTGGATACACGGATAACGGCTAACGGATCCGCCGTTGTAAACTATCTCAAAGATAGTTCTGAGAAAATCCAAAAAAAAAAAACACGAATTAAAGAAGGAGCAGGGGGTGGTGAATAACGGGGGCTGGTGGGGGGGTTTCTGTGTGTTTTTTGTTGCTGCTGCTACTACTTTTTCGTGGCATATTTTTTGACTTTGACTTTAATTCGTTTGCCTTTGCTTTTTTCCTTTGCCCCAGTGTGTGTGATTGTGTGTGTATGCGCGCCCGTATGCGTGTGTGTTAGCAACAACAACAAATATTGTATTTTTTTTTTTTTCTTATTTTTCTTGATAACATTTTGAATTTTTTCCCGAATAAAACAAAAAGTGTCGCCAAATCAGAAGTTTCCCAAATTACAAACAAACAAAATCAAAACCGCGCACCCACCAACAACCACATTTTTTTTTAAGGCACTCTGACATCATCTGCAAAGCTCCACTCTCCACTGCGCGAAAAAAGAAACACCAAAAATTAAAAACAAACATAAATTCTTAAACATCAACAGCAGACAACATTCGACAGCAACAAATTAAAAGTAAGCCAAAAGACAGAAAGAAACAAAACAAACGACAGCCAGAAATTTCCTCAATTTTGGGCCATATGCGAAATGGTTTATTTTTCTTACGCCTTACTCACCACAAAAAAATTAAATAAAAAACAAAAAAATGCCAACAACAACACTCACACACACACGCACACAACACACGTACACGAGAGCCAAGATCAAAGTCAACATGACAAAAAAGCTCGCTCTCTCTTTTTTTTTTTTGGCCGCTCTCACGCATTGTCCCGCATAAATCTCTTCTACTTCTAATGCCCCGCGCTCTCTCTTTCTCTCACTCTCTCTCTATCTGTGGCAGGCCCTCTCTCTCTTACGGCGGCTCTCCCACGCTGCCTTGATGACGAAAGCAAATAGCCGTAAAAATAAAAGAAAAAGAAAGCTTTGCCGGCCGGCTATCCGATCGCAACAGCTGTTAATGTTAACCCTTGTGTGGGCGTGCTAGCACCCCGCTCCAACCCGCCTGTCTTGAAATGACCCCCCAAAACTAATTGCATTTTCCCCGTCTCTTTCACAGATAACTCTTTTTTTTGGCCCAATTGACACCAAAAACGAAAAAAAAAAACAAAAAAAACCACATATGTAACTTTTTTTCGAAGCCCACAATAAGGACGAGTTTAAAACCGCAACGCACAACCAAGTTTCGAGCAAAACAGTTTAAATTAAAACGCGCAAAAAACGTAAAAGACAGTTACAAAAATCCGTGAAATTACAAAAAAAAAAAAAAAAAAAAATGCAAACGCGACTTTAATACAAATCCACTGACAAACGCTTGCTAAACGCTTTTTTCCGGTTCAGCAGAGGTCAGCGAAAGTTTCAACTCGGCTAAAAAAAAGAAAAGTTACCAAAAAAAGAAAAACATACATAAATGCAAACGTAAAATCCGTCAAGGACATGAGTCAATCGAGTAATTGAGCGCGCAAAATTCAAAAAGTCATCATTCCACACAAAACACCCGTAACGAAAAAAGAGTTGATGCAGGAGTAAAAAGAAGACAAGCTGAATACAAAATACAAATTTATTAAAGATCAATTTCGAAAGTCACCGATTCGATTCGATTCGCGGTTTTTGAAAGAGCCACCTTGAAATTTTTAAAGTGTTCGAGCAACGATTTTTGCAAACGTTCGGTTTCAGGCAGTCCAGTCCTTAAGCTATTTTCCCCCGGGATAATTATATATTAACGTCGGCTATATTTATAACATATATCCGATCGACTCACCAACCCCGAAGGTAAACTTCAAAAGCACACACGCACACTCAACACCCAAATACAAAAAGAGCTACCGAAAATGGCATCCGAACTGGATCAATTCGCCGACCTGGAACTCTCGAAGGAGGATCGTGAACAGATCTTCGATCCGCCACTGGATCGACAGCAGTTGGAAGGTGCTGGCACCTCAAGGTACGTACTCGAGTTGCTACTTAACCTTTTAGAACGGATCGAAAACAGATCGCACAACCAGGCCTTTCTCTATCCAAAAAAAAAACAAAAAAAAAAACAAAAAAATCAAAAACCAAAAACCAAAAACCCCCTCCGAAAACATTATACCCCAACATTATTCCTCCATCTTTCATTGATCTTGATGTAGCTTTTGTAGTTTGTTGTATGATGCTTTTTAGCTTTTTAGTGCGGGTTCTTAGCCACAACCACCCACCCACCAACCTATCCACTTAGAAATCCGATACTCTTACCCCTGATCAAAAGATCAGATCAGAACAGATCCGAACAGATCAGATCAGAACAGATAGTTTGGCAACTACTTTAGCTAGCTGGTCGAAAATGGCGCCAAATGCTTTTTAGTTACGCCTTTGCCTCGATTCGATGCGCCCCTCCAAGGTTTTCGGGGGAAAAAAAAAATGGGAAAAGGAAAAAAAAATTGTAGCCTCTCAAAGGTAATGGGAAACCCGGAAAGGGAAGATCCTTGGGCAGATCCTTTTACGGAATTGGAGATTCTACGATCTGCTCTCGCTCTGGCAATCCACAATTGCACAAATTATCACGCCAAATAACATGAAGTTTGCCCCTCACACGATGGCCCTCCTACTTTTGCCACCCTACCCTGCCAACACCCCCCTTTTGGACATACAACGCTGCTAAATAGCAGCTAATTTCCTGTGATAAATTGGGCATATCACCAAAAAATACACAATAACAACAACAACAACAACAAAATGGCTCTCAGGGAGGAAGGAGGAGGAGGGAGGACCTAAGAATCCTCAGCCCCGTAGACCCTCGTCAAGTTGCCCCCTCGAGCCAAGCTCAAGTGGTGTAAGTAAACACTGAGCGGCCTAGAACAAACTGGGGCTGGGGTTAGGCCAAACCATCATCATTGTCACATAAAAAAGCCCCGGGAAGCGTTAGCCAGTCAGTCACTCACTCACTACCTGTCTCGCCCCTTTTACAGCCCCTCAATTCGCAATTCCCCGCAATGCCGATCCCTATTTCCCAATTCCGATCCTGATCCCGATTTCTTGGCCAACCCCCGATCCAACAGAATTGATATACTTGCCGCACGCTGCTCGAACAGGAGCACTAAAAAAGCAACACAGCATCTGAAAAAAAAAAAAAAAAAAAGAGTAGGGTGTAGTAGTAGGGTAGGGTGGGGTAGGATAGGGTAGGGTAGGGTTGAACTCACTCACTTAGCATCCTTCGGGCGGAATCGTATCGCTTTTGTGGCGAAAGACGAATGGCGAATGGCGGAGGGCGAATGGCGAAAGGGAGGTGCAAAAAGATCAATGAAGGACAGCACTACTGGCGACCAAAGATCGAAGTTCCTTCGGGCAGCCAAAGAAAATGTTTGTGTATGCACCTCTAAACAGATTATAATTCTTTTTTTTTTTTTTTCGTTCGTATATTTATGTTGATAAAAGGAAATCTGAGAGCTCAGAGCACGCTCAGCTCAATAGTACAGTAGCTGGGAAAGTTGCTAGTGCCAAAGACCTAAACGGATTATGATAATAAACAATATCACTTGACAATATCGGGGGACTGCTACAAAATAATTAGTGTTGTGAAAATATTTTGGATAACAACAATGAGATAACATTGTAAGAATTGGTCAAATAAACTGGAACTTTTTCAGCACATTTATTGTAGCATACTTTTTTTTGGGGGGATTCTTTTAGGCTTTTCAGATTAAAACATATATCGCTAACTTATATTTGTATTACATAAATACTTAAGTGTCACATAGTAAAAATCAAAGAATACTTAATCACTGACCTAAATTTGAGTGTAAGGGATCCTATGATCCTATGATTAAAAGCAACTTAGATGAGAAAAGATTCGTGCGATGCTTGCATACTTATGATAAGGATTTGGTTAAAAAATTAGACAATTCGCTTGCATAAAAAAATATTATTTATAAAGTTATAAAAATTTTTAACTAGTTAAAGTAAAATTATATGATTTTGTTTAAAGAATTAATTCAGTTTGACCATAAACTTATATTGGATTATAGCGCAATTCCATATAAAATAGCATAATATGGAAAATAATATGAATATTTCTATATGAGTTTTGCAACAATAGCAGGACCATAAATACAAATATTGTTGGGCGCACTTTTATAAAGCTTATTCAGAAAAAAAGTATCTTAGAAGTTGATGATTAGGGTGAGATAAAACAAGGTTGCTACTGATTCAACTTGCTGTTGTTGTCCTAAGACGTTGATTGTGAATCTTCTACAAAAAAAAAAAGAAAAAAAAAACAAAAATTAATCCCCGCTGCGGCAAAGATTGTTCTGGTTGCGTGTTAAGCCGCTTGTTGCAACAACTACTAAGCCGGTAGGCAAACGCAGGCAAAAGCCTGGAGCGCTAAAAAAAAAAAAACACAAACTAATTTCCAGCAGAGGAACGCAAGGTAAACAAAACAGCCAACGCCAGAGTAGGGCAAAAATACAAAATAATATGAATAAATGTAGAAAAAGTTGTGGAAAAAAAGCGCAGAGACATAGAGACCATAGCGACCATAGCGACCAAGACCAGAAAGAATCTCACAGCTCAGCAGCGGCAGCAGACAACGCCAACGAAACCGAAAACGAAATCTTTTTCTGTAGCAATTGGTTTAATCCGCCAAAGGAAACATGCCGCTGCCGCAGGAGGCATCTTTTTTTCGCCAGGTTTGATTTGCTTTTGGTTGGCTCTTGCTTTTGCTTTTGCTTTGCTTTGGCTTTGCTTTGCCTTGGTTTGGCTCTAATTTTTTTTTTGGACTTGAACTTGGAGTTGGTCTTGGTCTTGGTCTTGGGTTTCGTGCTTGGGATTTAGCTTAGAAAAGAAGGGTTGACCCAGAATGCCGGCGATAGAGATGAGATCTCATCTCTGGAATCTGTACGTTCGTTCGTTCGGTTGGTCGATGGTTGGTTGGTTGGTTGGTTGGTTGGTTGGTTGGTTCATTCGTTTGTGTGTTGGTGATCTCATGATCAGGTTTCTCAGGAGAGTTGGCGGTTGGAAATATGATTTTGGCTGAGTTTAGGGGCTTTCCTGCCCATTTCATTGTGTATAGTTTTTTTGTTTTTTTTTTGTGCTTTTGTTGTTGTATTTGCCCTCGTGTTTGTTCGTTTTTCTAGTCGCAAAAACGCAAAACACGTTTCTCATATTTCCAACTCGTCGCTCTCTTTTCTGCGAGTGCCCGGGCTCAAACATTTTTAATTATACAAGAGGCGGCTTCCCTTCTTCCCTTGTTCCCTTCATCCGCTGGCTTCTAATGTTAATGTTTGTTCACTTGCGAATGGGGAGGGGCCTTGCCAATTTGTCCTTTGCCACTTTGCTGCGCTTCTTTTCTAATCGCAACCCTTTTTCGACATCGCCATCGCCATCTGTATCTGCATATCTGGGTATCTTCTGTATCTTTTGTATCTGGGTATCTGTATCTTTGCCTCGCCTCGCTTCGCCTCGCCTGCCACTTAGCCGTAGAAGAAGCGTACTTTCTGGATGCCGGGAACAAATTTGATTCCCATCGATTATCAACTCGCAGGGAGGCCAAACTTCTTCGCTTGCCTGCTGATCCTCTGAGCCTGCTGCTCGGCTTTTTTGATTGACAGTCAAATTAGTAGAGCTCCTTGGGCGACAAGGCTTTCTCATTTTTTTTTTTTTTTTTTTGGGGGGGTAGCACAGCATCTATCCAGCTAACCAGCTAACCAGCCAACCAGCTAACCAGCTCACCAGCTAACCCTAGAGCTGCTCAACAGCTGCTTCTCCTCAAAAAACGGGGCCTGACCTTGGTTTATCGTTTATCCATTCATTCCGATCGCCCCCGCCTTTGTCATCACTTCACAATGCCAGCCAAAATCGGGCCAAAACCCGATTCACATGAGCCCAGACTTGTGCTGTGTATATATGGAGATGATTTTGCACTGAGCCAAACAAAATATATACTATTCAAATTGATAGAAAGTTTGTTAGTTGAATCATACAATTTGATGTAAATTTAAACCAAGGGCTATCCCTAACCTTTTTTCCACTTATTTACTTTGTTACAGAAAAAGTTTAAATTAATTTCAATTACCATACAAATGGCATATCTAAATTTCAAAAACTGTTAATCCATTTTATCAATTTAAATTTTGACAAATGTCAATAACGTTTTTCAGCTAACATATGTACATTTTTTAGCAAAATGTAGCACTGATACAGATTTAAGTTTACAATTTTTTTTTATTAAAAATAAATACATTTTTAGTTAAATAATTATATTGTATAATGTAAGCTGTATAGTATCTACACTTATTAGACCAGACAAAATCACCTGATTTTATATTATAAATACGTTTGGGTGAATATTCTAATTTACTGAACACTACGAAATGAAGCTATGTAGAAATGTCTGATTTTTGTGCTACATTAACTGTATCTCATTAGGCTTAGATTTTCTCAGTGTAGCTGCGTTGTATAGAATCAAATGAATGAATGGCGGGGGAGGTAGAAATGGTTTACGTACACTTTACCTACATTTGTCCAAAAAAAAAAAAAAAACATATTCTCTGGCCCATAATGAGCAGCTTGTTTGAATGTGGTTCGGGGATTTGGGGGGCTGGGGGCTGGTAAGGCGTGGCCCGCCAAATTTCCGCTGCCGCGAACTGCGATTGCTGCTGCCACTGCTGCTGGAAATTGAAGTTGTTGCACAGCGGAAGAGCAGAAGGACACCGACTTTGGCAAATCGGTCCGGACAGTAGCAAACAGGATGCACATATTTTGTGTGTTTCGGTACTGATACTGGTACTGGTACTGGTACTGGTAGTCCTACTCCAGGTAGACAGGTATCGGTGGAGGTAGCAACTGCCCAAGTGTGCGTTTTGTGTGTGTGTGGGAGTTTCGTGATAGTTCTCAGGTACAAAACAAGAGCAGTCTTGGCCTGCCCTAATTTAAAGGTGATGCTGTAACCGGGTTAAGCCTTCAAGGATC